TTTTGTTTGTTTTGTTTTGTTGGGTTTTTTGTTTGTTTGTTTGTTTGTTTGTTTTGAGACAAGGTTCTCTGTGTAGCACTGGTTGTCCTGGAACTCACTCAGTAGACCAGGCCGTCCTCAAACTCACAGAGATCACCTGCCTCTGCCTCCAGAGTGCCGGGATTAAAGGCATGTACACCTCCACACCCAGCTCCAATCAGCGGAGAGCTGTCTGAACGGTAGAAAAGCCCCAGCACTGGAGGCTGGCATGAGGGCAGAACACTAGAGGGCGTTCCCTGCTGCTGTACAGGTCTCAGCTGCCAATGTAAGGATAGAAAGCTACCAAAAGCTGAAACTTGAAGAGATTGTCTTCACCTACCCACAACTTTTTAGTAGAGCAAAAGGGCCCCCGCAATGTGATTTGAAACGTCCAGGACAGCGAACATGATTGGGTTGTTGGCTTTTTTTCCTGTCTGTTTCCAGTGTTGTTCAGACAGGCACCAGGTGACCAGCCATTTAGAAAGGTAGTTTGAAACCAACTGAGTGTAGCAGGCGGCAGAAAGTGCGCTGGAGCCTTAGTCTGGAGGCAGAGTTCCTTTGCTATGACAATTTCCCTAGATAAAATTCCTAATAAGTGGCAGGGTGGGGTGACTAGTCGGCATGTCTGCCGCACTTCAGTCTCAGGATGCTCCTTCTGAAGGGTTCCATCTGGTGTGAGTGATAGGATTTAATACATTTGTAGGGGTTGTTATCTACCTGTAGAAATATGTTGCCGATCTGCCTCCTTGTGCTGGCAGACAGCCATTATTTACTTGTATAAACAAGATAGTCATTCTTTCTTAACATTTATGTTCAAGATGGAGTAACTCAGATCAAAACTGGTGCTTTATAAAATGGATTCATTCAAGGCTAAACCTAGTCTGAACATTGATATTTCATACAACCTGTAATAACCCAGAGCAGGCTCAGTGTCTTCTTAGGAGTCCCCCTAATTCTGTGTCTGAGTTAGAGCCCCAGACTGAGTAGTTTGTGGGTAGGACCCCAACTCTAGAGACACCACCCTGCGCTTGTCTAACTGCCTAGCATGCCTTTGTGAGGTGTGACAGCCAAGCAGGGTGTGGGCAGAGAAGTGCCCAGGCCAGCAAGTGCTGCAGGAGGTACCCCAATTATACTTCTACTATCGAGAAGTATAATCCGATGAGTTTAGCATGAGTCCAAGGCTGCTTCTGATCACAAATGGGGACCCCCTCCCCCCCATTACCCGGTAGGCTCAGCTCATCAAGTCCGCCATAGGATGGGGAAAGTCTCCAGGTCAGGCTGAGTCTTGTCTATCTGTCCCTAGATCAGTGTGGGGCCCCACTCCCTCTTTGGCATGGCCCTGCAGTTTCTACCATGTCACCTCAAAGCGGATGAGCTAAAGACACGGTGATTCCTAACCCTGGTGGCTGTTGTTGAAATGATTAAGGTGAAGTCATCTCGCTCTGACTCCATTTTGTGTTTATGTAAGCAGTTCTCTGCCCTCTACCCCTCCCCTCAGCGGTCACACCTGCCTTCATAACACAGCTGAGACGCCATTCTCTCTCCTCTGTGAGCAGCAAACTACCTTTTTAGTGGCAGTCATCTCCTCTTGCCATACCTGATAATCAAACAATAAAATCTAATAATACTGTAGTGTGCAGAAAGCAATCGGAGCCCAGGTGCCCAGCACTATCGTGGTGGTCCCAAGGCTGAGGGCACACAACCTCTGCTGCTGCCATCTCCTCCCCGTGGTTGTGGAAGGCACAGAGGGCAGCATTTCCAGAAGGTGATTCAGAACACCCGCTTCGCCAGAATTTAACTTCACGACCTGAGCCAGGGCCGTAGATGGTTCCTGAGTGGCCTGGCATGCGACACCCAGGCATCTGCGGAGACAGGGGTGGCAGGGAGGGATTTGTCCTTGTTCTCTGCTAGGATCTACATGGCAAGCCATTTGTCCTCTAGCTGCACCAAGACACCACAGCTCCGTTAAACCAGAGATAATCTGGAAGAACAGGGCTGGCGACAGGCGACCCAGCTTACTTAGTGCCTGAAGTTGTGCTATGCCACCGACTCTCCCAGGATCTAGCACTTTGCTGAACTCCAGTTTTTCTCTCTAAAAAGTATAAAAAGGACACACGGGCTCGTCCGGGATTTGAACCCGGGACCTCTCGCACCCAAAGCGAGAATCATACCCCTAGACCAACGAGCCACTGTGAGGGCAGGGTCTGGAGTTGGTCCTTGGATCTCTTCACCCGATTGACACACCGCCTCTGTGGAATCGTTCCTCTAGTCCTGCCTGGAAGGACTCTCCGAGTTCGTTTCTCTGTGGGTTCCGGAAAACGGAGGGAGGTGCGGCACCGTGAAGGACGGAAGAGAAAGTTCTCACACACTCAAGGTAGGTCCGACCCCAGCCCTGAGGCCCAGCATTAGGCGTGAATGACCAGGGACCACCGTCCTCCGGGAAAGGGAAGTCAGAAAGCTCGCGTGAGCAATGCAATCTCAAGGTGGACCCCGACTCGAAATTTCACCCCAAATAGAATCCAAGTCTAGAACCTCGAGAATGAGACAGGGGATTGCCGCCTCCTGATCCGCTAGGCCCCGGGTCTCAAGCATCCGGGAAGAGCCGGGGTCCTCCGAGGAACCGCAGATCCTGTCTCTTGGCCGAGCCCACTCCGGCCTGGACTCGGCCCCGAAGACCCGCGCGGCTCAGAGACACCGACACAGAAGCCAGAGCTGGGCTCGGGGTTCGCTTCTTGCGCAGCAGACGGCAGAACGAACGCTCCAAACTTCACCTCCGCAGAGCGTCTGGCAAGGGATCCAGCGTCTCTGCGGCGACTTTGAGAAGGCAGGCTCGCCCATGGTTATTAGACCGTGAAACCGATCAGGCCCTAAACGGGGGTCTCTAACATCCTCACAGCCCACCACCTTGCCCCCCACGCTGTGGCTCCTGAGAACGGAAGGGGCCACGCGGACCCTGGCAGTGCAATTGTAGGAGGCTGGAGGGGTAGACCCACCACCGTCTAAGGCTGGATGCTCCTCCTAGGTCAGAACAAGTCCCACTTAGTCTAGAACCCGGAAGTCCTGAAGAACTTCAAGAGGCCTGTGGGGAACAGCGCCGCTGTCGCCGCCCGGCTAGCTCAGTCGGTAGAGCATGAGACTCTTAATCTCAGGGTCGTGGGTTCGAGCCCCACGTTGGGCGAGCAGTTTTGTCTATGAGATCTGCAACTGGACAGACGTCTGTAGTATACAGGCGTCGTGTTTAATAAAGGCTGAGGCTTCCATATACGTTCCCTGTGGTCATAGGGCTACAGAACCAGAAACTTGAAGAGGCGAGTTTTTCTTCTCTTTATATTTAATTTTTATATATTTAACCTGATACTTTACAAATAAATAGTATTTACATAAAATGTTCAGGTACAGTACAAAGAACATTCAGGACCCTGTCTATCGACACTACTTGGAGAGGTGAGCTGCTGATTCTCAGAACTTCCTTGAACTTCCCAAACCTGGGCGGTGACTCAACAGACTTCTTCAAGAAGCGAGTCCTCTTTCCATTCGGGACAGTGCTTAGAAGAACTAAGAATGGTTCCTTGGGGTAGGCTTTCCGACAAACAAAACTAGGCTGGCTCGAACCCTCCGTAAAGGGAGTGTTTTACCTGTATGCCGATAAAGTTGGGGGAAGCACCAAAATCCTCGTGCTGTGGGAACTGAGTCCTTTCGAGACTGTCTAAAACAAGTTTCTAGCAGAGCCTAAGTGTCTGCTTTCCATCTTGGGGAGCAAAAATCATTGTGAAAGTGTTGAAGGGGCGGGGTCAGGAAGCGAAATACACATGAAGCCCCCGCCCACCTCCCCTTTTTTTTTTTTTTTTAAATGATTTTGTTTATTTTATGTGCGTTGGTGTTTTGCCTGCATGTATGTCTGTGTGAGGGTGTGGAATAGCAGCCATCATTCCTAACTGCTGAGCCATCTCTCCAGCCCCCCACCTCCCCTTTTTAAAAGCAGGTTCCAGTCCAGGTTGTCCTGGAACTCGAGAGTAGTCCAGGCTGGCCTCGAAAAGACTCACCTGCCCCTGGCCCCCAATGCTGGGATTGTAGGTGAGCGCCACCACCCTCGTTCTGAATCTTTTTTTTTTTTTAATTAAAGTAATAAAAATCATGAATTGTTCTAAAACAAAAACAAACAGAAGTGTCTTCTATTGGAGGCTGAATGTCTAGAAGGTCAGGGCCCAAACCCCGAAGGCCTCCATACAGTTACCTTGCGGCCACAGCGTTGCTCTTACTAAAACAAAGAAAATATAATTTCATCCTGCATGATGCAGACTCACACATAAGGTGAACCAGCAACCTCAGGGAGGCTCCTGTGAAAGACAACATCAATTAAGAAGACTCCGTGGGACACAAGGCATCAGAAGCTTCCCGTTTTACAATAGATCAAGGCTTGTATTTGGGGGCATTTTTACCCCAAGGATGAAGCCGAGTATTATACGTATTTTTAACATACAATATTAATATCTATTTCAAACATGTACTAAAGCTAAGAAAATAGTATTCTGTGCTTTTGTGTCTACCACTGAGCTATGCTCCAAGCCCCAATCTTTAATTTAAAAACTAATCAGTTGTTTTGGAAGTTAATCTCTAAATAATTTGGTTTATAATCAATAAGAATTTCTCCTTTAATCCCAGCACTGGGTTAAAGGCAGGTGAATCTCTGTGAGTTTGAGACCAGCCTGGTCTACAGAGAGAGTTCCAGGACTGCCAGGGCTACACAGAGTAACCCTATCCCGAAAAACAAACAAACAAACAAATAAACAACCACAGAAAAAGACTTTTTAAAAATCTATAACCTAACCTGGAGTCAAGTTGTACATGTGTAATCCCAGGGTTCAGGAAGAAGATGCAGAAGGACTGTGAGTTCGAGCCCAATCTGGTCTACTTAACAAGACTCTCATAAGTAACAAAAAAAAGGAGGGGGGGGGAATCGCAATAAAATTGTACGTCTAGACTCTGAACAATTGTTGTTTTAATATCAACTCATAATTGGTGGTTCATAAAAGTAGTGCAAATGCCATCACACGGTATTTTGTAAAGTGAAAACATGTATTTATTTGAAAACAAAAATCACTTCTAACTTGAAAGGTGTGCCAAACCACCTCTCCAATTTTGAAGCGTTATTTCGTTTCTCCTTTACCCGTTTTGACTTTCCAGGTGTTTAAGGGTCTAAAACACAGGCTTCTTACCCCGGGTGGGACTCGAACCCACAATCCCTGGCTTAGGAGGCCAATGCCTTATCCATTAGGCCACCGGGGCTGACGAGAAAGAGGTGTTATGTATCTTTCACTAGTTTCTTTCCGTTCTTTCTGCGGGTATCTTGTGTCTCTTCTACTTCTTCGTGAATCGCCGCCCGTTTTGCAGTCTTTCGCGTCCATTCTCAGTGAAGGCTCCAGCTCTGATTAAGTCAAGGCCCCGGAGCACCCTTGGGATCTAAAAGGGCACTTGTGAAGAAGAAGAAAGTAAAAAATGCATCACTGGTTTTATCTTAGCTCATTGGTCTAGAGTGAGGATAACATCTTTCTGTGGTGCAGTGTCCAAGACTCAAATATTGAATGAGCCCTTTGACCCGGGACGGCGGGTAGGGAAAACGTGTTTGGGATGCAGACTTACAGGGGCCGGCACGGTAATACATGTGTTTTGCAGTGCCGGTTCCCTTTCCAGAAAGAGTGTGCACTGTGCTCGGCCTCTGTCCAGTCCTCTCCCTCTGTCTCTTGGACCAAATGCTACTTACTTGGTAGGGACAGGTCTTCACTGTTTTTCTTTATAGAGTATACAGCTGGCCTATATATTTTACTTGATACACTCACCCTCAAAAAGAAGAAAAAGAAAGGAAGAAAGAAAGAAAGGGAGAAAGAAAGAAAGGGAGAGAAAGAAAGAAAGAGAAGAAAGAAAGAAAGAAAGAAAGAAAGAAAGAAAGAAAGAAAGAAAGAAAGAAAGAAAGAAAGAAAGAAAGAAAGAAAGAAAGAAAAAGGAAATGAACAAATTCTGCGCAGTGAGCCCAGTTGGAAGAACCTGAGATCTTTGGCTTGAGGCTGAGTTCCAGCCCAGTTACATTACCCTCGGGTCCCTTTGGCTCTCCTTTAGCTCGTGTGTGTGTGTGTGTGTGTGTGTGTGTGTGTGTGTGTGTGTGTGTGTGTGTGTGTAACTGATCTAACTTATATTTACAAGCCTCATTAAACCACTGTAACATTGAAGAGCAAATGACTCCCCCCAGCGCTGGCCACCTGAGCGGGCTCCCCGCCCTCGCCTTGGGTAGCTCCGCTAGGAGTGGCGGGGATGAAAGACGTTTCTTTTTCCACCGAATCCCTTGAATAGAGATTCCTCCCCACCCCCCAGGAGAAAGGTCACCTCAATCCTGGACGTATTCTTGCTATTTAAAAATTTACATTTACATTGGACCTGTAAGGAGACAGCTTTTTTGTTGTTGAGACAAGACTGGCCTTTACTCTCCTGCCTCCACCTTCCAAAAATTGGGTGGGATCACCTGTGTGCCTGCACAAGGACAGCCTCGCATTGTGAGAAATCTAATCTATTAGATTGTTTCACGGATTTTAGAGCTGTGGACATATATATACCAAATTCACTGCTTTAACTATTTTCAGATGTCTGTTCAGCGGCATTAATTGCATTCACCACATTGTGTAATCAACCGGATAGGCTACTGAGTTTTTTAATCCAACTGTTTTTGGCTTGCCCTTCGGACAACTCCCATCCCTCCTGCAAGCAACCCCCTTCCTCGACGTTAATTCGTGCTGCTTGTACCCTGTTTTGAGCGGGCTTCACTTACTGATTACTAGCATGCTGGACTTGCTCTCAAGTCGTCCGCGATACCAGACAGAATCAGGAATCCGTAGAGCCGTGCGGTGAAAAGAAGAGAGCAAACCCAAGAACGGGGAATTTTTCAGTGGGATTTATAAAAACGGTACACTCGCAGCGACCACGAAGGGACTCGAACCCCCAATCTTCTGATCCGGAATCAGACGCCTTATCCATTAGGCCACGCGGCCCTACGTTTGCATGTGGGTTAGTTCTTCCCATAAGGCTTTCTCAAGAGCCTACTGCGCATGCTTAAACTAGAGAAAGGTCCCGCCCCTTGGGCTAATCTATTTGGTGTGAGATGCTTGGGAGCTTCAACAAGTTTGAACCGGTCTGAGCCCTCCTGGGCAATCCGCCAGTGGAAGCCCTCTGGATCCGAGAAGCTCGCCTTTCGGACCTCCTCCCCACTTGCTGGCCCTCAACTCAGGATTATGGACAATCCATTCGCTTGCGCCATCACGTCACTGGTGTATCCGCAATGGTCTCTTCCAGTCTGGGACCGGACTTGGCTCGCCTCTCCTGCATCTTGGTGCCTAGAGCCAGGTGGAGATTGAGAGAACTATGGTCCCTGAGCTGGTTCTTCGCAGGACTTCTTTCTCCCTAGGCCGCTCCCAGCATATGCAGGCCAGCCCTGTTAGGTTCCGTAGTCTCAGACGCGAGGCACAGACCCAAACCAACCTCTGGTCCCCAGGAGCACAGCTGTTCCTCTATCTAGTGCCAGGCACTTTACCCGTTATCTCACTTATTGGAGAGAGCATGAATTTCCCGGAGCACAAGGATCGTGAACAGATATTTATTGCACGCTCTCCGAGTTCCCATGCCCAAGATGCTGGCTGCATCGATGACAGAGTGCTGAAGGGGGATGGATCGGAAGCAGCAGGGCTGTCAGTCCTATAAACAGAGCCGGCGCCGGAGAGAGCTGCGGGTCTCCAAGCAGACCTTGCGCAGCTCATCACTGTCTGGCCCCAGCACATCCAACTCACATACTCTCCTGTTGACCTGAGGAACGACACTCAGCTAGGCCCCGAGGGACTACTCAGTCTGGCACACCCACTGCAGTCCTTGTCTGCTGGGGTTTCGTTGTGGGGAGGGGATGCTTTCTGAAACAATCTCACTATGTATCCCAGGCTGGTCTCAAACTCTGAGATCCAGTCACTACCTTCCAGCTACAGGCATGCCCCACAACGCCTGGCTCTTGCCTGTTCTGTAAGCCTAAAATTTCAAGGACTACTTAATCTTTGAGGTGTCTTTGAGCCTCACACAGCCCCAGAGGTTTAACATGAGTTCCTTGCTCTACTAAAAAAAGCCCCACCCGGTGGGAAAGGCTCCCCGCTCCCATATATACTGCTTCTGAGTTGGTCTGACCAGGGGGCCATGTGTATTTGACCATTTCATACTATGAGCGCCAGAGATCCCTCCTAGTAATAAAGGTGTTTACTATCCTAGAGAGAAGGGGGGAACACAGAGACAGAGAGAGAGACAGAGACACAGAGACAGAGACAGCCTTCTCCTTTCCCTGGGGTAAGTGGGAGATAATGGGAACACTGCCACCAACCCAGCCTTTCTTTCTCTGTCCCTGTCCCTACCCTTCACACCTCTGTCAACAGCTCAATGACATCTCCTCCAGGGTTGGCTCTGATGACCTCCACCAGCGTCTGGACAAAGTCTGAGCCCTTTTCTTCGTCCCGATAGGCCACACAGCCTAGGTCAGGGGATAGGGCCGGAGAGTCAGTCAGCCTTGGCCTGCTGCCCTCTGCTTCCCAAGCCCCAGAGGCCTATTGTGGGTGGGAGGAGTGAGAAGGGCAAGCAGCGGGGATTCTGGGTATCTGGCTTGAGACCAGAACAGGGCCAGGGACTTCTTGCTGATATTTGTAGAGTATCTGGGTAGACTCAATGCAGAACAAACATTTACTGTGGGTTTGCTAGGCACCAAGCATTTGACAGGGTCTTGCGGCAAACAGACCTGCCCTGTCCTTGAAGACCTTCACAAGTGCTTGTCTAGTAGGCACTTGACAAAAGTGTGCCATGGTTACTATGACTACAAAGAATAAACTGTGGGAGAAGACGGCTTAACTGCAGCTGGGCTGGTGCCTCTGCTCTTGCTGATACTAAAATCACCCCAGGTCTCGGGGCAGGAAGCTAGGTCCCCGACAACTTACCCTCAGCAGCTGCGTAGACAGTAAGGATGTCTGCTTGGCTAGAGCTTCCTGGAGTGGAGGGAGGGCTGCCTGAAAAAGAGTCAACCCCCTTTAGCAGCATCCTGGAACCCTGACTGCCTCAGGTCTTGTCATCTCTGGTTCGAGGGCAGCACAGGGCCATGCAAAGAGCGCAGGACAGATGGAAAAACCACAAGCCTTACAGCATTCAGGCTGTATGAACTCAAAGAAGCGAGTTCTCCTTGCTGACTTCACATTGCTAGGTCACTTAGGTCCCTCCCTGAGTCTTGGCAAAGAAGGCGCAGAGGTGATAGCAGAACCATGACAGTCCTGGAAGTATGTCATGAATGATTCCCACCACCAGTGTGCCAAGCCCAGGCTCTAGAAGGAAGGCAGACCCACCTGGGGCATCCACATGAATCTGAAGAACATCTGCCTGGGTAGGGAGGGCTGGGGGTGCTCGCAGCCAGCGCCTGTACCATGGGAGAGCTCTTGGCCTCACCCCAGGGTCCCTGTTCCCTGGAGAAGGAGGGAGGCAGATACTTTTACTCAGTGGTACCTCGGGATATTTCTGGGTGATCTAGACTCCATATAAATAGTGGGGCAGGCTTACAGAGCTGGCAATAGTCATCAGGGTCAAGTTTGTGGGGAAGATGGAGAGGGGGCAGGGAAAGGCTAGTGGGCAGGCTTCCTGGAGGAGGTGGGTGGAAAATGGGGGAGGCCAAGGGCTGGCAGAGGAATGCCAGGGTGGGTGATTGGGCTTAAGGCAGAGCCTCTTACCACCACGGCAGGCCTGGAGCAGGAAGATCTTGGGGCGGCCCTGCAGGGCCCGACAGAAGCTCAGCTCCTGTACCAGCATCTCGGGGTGTACTTCTCGCCCATCAGCACCCAGCAGCTGCCCCTGTGGCCCCCCGTGAGCCATCAGGGCCACCAGGGCACAGCTCACAGGGCCCTTGTGAGTGTCCAGCTTTTCCTGGAACTGAGCCAGCTCCTCCCAGAATGCCTGGAGTGGTGAGGGCAAGGGCAAGGTCTGAGCCAGACCCTGGCTGCTCTCCATGGGGCTGGGGGCACCTCTTCAGCCTCTATCCTCGATAGCAGGCTTCCCAGGGCAGAGAAGTGACTGTCATATGCATGTAGCAAGAAGTCAGAGGCTAGACATAAGATGTATTTCCTGCCTGTGATGTGGGAGAAACCCAGGAAGGAAAATTCCAGGGTCCTAGGGGCAGAACGCCCTTCCTTCCAAGCACCGCCAGTTTTAGACTTCCCTGACCTGGGCTGTAGGGTCTGTCCTCAGGGTGACCTTGAAGCCCAAGGCCTGGCACAGGTCCCCCAGTGCTGCCACATCATGCTGTGTCCCAAGCCGGTCTTGAATCACAGCCAGTAGGAGGGCGGCCCTGGTCCCAGACAGGTCATACTGTGCACTTGGTCCGGGGTCGGACTGTACGGAGGGTTAGGGACACACAGTGGGCTGAGGGGACTCCCAGTCCTCGTCTCCCCATCTGTATCTCTCTCAGCCTCCACCCAACCTCCATCTGCCCACACAGGACCAGCCTCTCTCCCTGCCCCTCACCTCTGGCCTCCAGGGCTCCACATCTCGCAAACACAGGGTCCCCCGCAAGGAGGTCCTGAAGACTGGGCAGTAGGTATCCCCAGCAGGCTCTTCAGCCACTCTGCAAAAGAGCTAGAAGGCGGGGCCCAAGGACCCCTCAGAGAACTGTACCGTTAGGAATGGGGGTGGGGCTGCAACCCAAACAGAGGGTCAAGATCCTGGCTCCAGGGGAAACTTAGCCAGCTCAGAGCTACTGAAGACTTCGGAGGTCACATGACAGGGGGAAAGTGGGGAATAGAGAGGTCAGGATGGACGTAAGCAAGACCTAGGCTCTGACTCACACTCAAGTTCATTATCTCACCCTAGGGATTAATACACACAGAGGCAGGACCCTCCCTGGAGGAGCACAGATCTGTGGAGGAGGACTCCCAAGGTGGCATAACCTGGAGAGGGGCTAGGCTGAGAGAGCCCACAGCTCTCACTTCTACACCTCTAGGCCACTCAGACACCACTGAACTACCTAGCAAGATGTTCAGACCTCAGGACCAAACCTAAGCCTATCTCAGCCACAGGGCCTTTGAATAGAGCAGATCAGCAGTCGCTGCCTGCGTGCCTGTCCAAGGCTGAGACTGAAGTTTCACTGTAGATACCAGCACAAGGAAGGGTACCACTGATGACAGTGAGACTGGCCAGGCCACCAGGGAGGGCACACCACATCGAGGGAATACTTCGGGCAAAGACGTGGGGTGTAAAGGAAGTTTGGAGTCTGGGTGGTCCTGTGTAGGTGTGAAGGCATGTCCTGCAGCCCATGCCTTGTGTGTAGCTGATAAAGGTTTTCAGAACAGATGCAATGGATGTGAATACATTTAGCTCTAACTGGCTCTGGGGAGCCAGCGAGATTTAGGCCCCGCCTTCCCTTCCTCCGGGTCCCCCACCTCCGTCAGCAGCTGCAGCAGTGACCAGTGAGGATGTTGGCTGCAGATTTTCCCCAAACCTGTGAGGAAAGCTTCAGGCTCCCAGGCAGCTGGTGGAGAAGCACCACAGGGCTGTGTAGGTAGGACAGAAGGCCCCAGCTTTCTTGTTCATCCCCCACCTTCACTTTTCCCTCCCAGAACTGGGGTCACTGCCTAGTCACTCACCCTTGAGGCCACTGGAGAGCAACAGGAAGATTTTGGGGCAACCCTGCAAGGCGTCACAGCGACTCAGCTCCTGAACCAGCAGCTGTGGCTGCCTTAGCTGCCCACTGGGGGCCATCAAAACCACAAGGGCGCACCCCACAGCACCCCTCTTGACATCCAGCTGCTCCCGGAACAAACTCAGCTCCTCAAGGAAACTCTAGGAGAAAGAGGCAAAGTCTAGTGAGGCCCCAGCTAAAAGTGAGTGCTGTGGCTAAGGGTTAAGGGTTGTGGGGTGAATGCTCACCTGGACTGGGACCTTCTTCTTCTCACAGTTTTCAAAGCCCAGAGCCTGGGACACACCATCCAGGGCAGCAACTGCAGTCACAGACACCCCGGGGCTGCTGAGTATCAAGGCTACCCTTGAACCCTGCACACTGTATTTCCCCTGGGAAAGGAAAAGCAGAGCTGTGCTGGGCTGGAGCCCAGCTGGGTGTTGGGAATGGGCTGGGCCAGGTAGAGCACCTCACTACCTTTCTCCCCACGCTGTCCCAAGCATCCACCAACTGTGCTGCCGCCTGTAGGGTCCCAGACACCAGGAAGGCCATGAGGACCAGGTGGGGCTTCCTCCAAGCCCGGAGCTTACTCCCTGGTTCTGGTTCCCTGTACACTGGGGCCTGACCCTTGCCCCCTTCTACACACGTTACCTCCTATCAACTGCAATGATTCCGTCTGGACTCTGTCCTTCCTTGGTAACCCTGGGCTCCACTCCCCCAGCCCAGCTCCCTTCTCCAGCTCTGACTGATAACTTCATGGCTGGTATTCATGTGTTCCCACCTGAGCCATGAGCTTGAGTTCAATTCTATTCTTAGCCCTTGGCCCATGTTCCTATCTGATCTTGTTACACCTAAGTGTCTCCTTTAGGAGGGAGCTGCCAGCTCTAAAGCCCTGATACTGCTCCCAGCATCCTTTCCCTCTGTCCTCCATGGGGCAGCGCACAAAACCCAAGCATACGACAGTGCAGAGCTTACAGAGGCAGGATAGGCAGCTGACGGGAACCTGCTTGGTCAACAGTACGACCTTGCTTGCTTCATGTGGGGAATGGGGATGGGTGAGACCACAGGCCGATGTGATAAACTGGGGGCTGGCAGAGAAAGGAACCTGAGGGCAAAGGCTGGCACACACGACCAGTTAATAAGGGACAGGAACATCTCGTCTCTGTCTATCCCCAGGCGAGGCCCCCTGAGGCTGACAAAATAAACCAAGAGGATCAGCAAGCGTCAGAGGAGTGACTGGCCCTGACCAGGCACCACCGGCTCGGTGTAGGCCCAGCTCGTCCTGGGACAGGGAAGGGGTGTTGAGGGCTGGCTGGGAGTAACAGCTGGACTCCTTTGGGCTGATCAACCTGACAGCTTCCAGCTCACACAGGGCAGTTCTGAGCTCTGACCCCACAGAGCAGCAGGCAGGCGTGTCCCCTCATTCAGTCGGTCGGTCCCACTTTAGTCCCTGCTCATTTCACCAGGGCAAGTGAAGGAGGGCCTGACAGACTCCAAGTCATGCTTGGCTCCTGCTCTTCCAAACCAGGACTGCACCGATTGGGTGAGTCACAGGGCTGCAGTCACAGGGCTGCAGATACAGGATGTGGCTCCCCCTGGTGACTGCATACACCATGACCATTAGTGTTACTGAGCCAAGAGATAACTTTGACGCCCCCAACTCAGAAAAGCCAGCTAAAAAAAAGACAGCCTCAAGGAAAGTTTCCATGTTTATTCAAACTCTTCTGAAGCCCACTGGGCCGAGCCCTCTTGGAGGGTCCATGGTCTGTCCCTGTTAATGTGAATCTGCACACAACGCAGATTAAAAACATGGAACACAGTGCTGGAGGAGTGAGCTACCAAGTGCTGATAGAGTGCTAGTGTTAAGTACAACAAAAGCCACACCTCTGGAGGAGTGGGTGCTCTCCAGAGTCAGCCTGCTGCTATAGTCAGCCAGAGCACCTGCAGGCAAGTGTGTCTGGGGTTCACAGCAGGACATCTAGGCAGCTTCCTGGGGTCAGTACAGAATGGTCACAGGTTGGGAGGGAGGAGAGGGAAGGCCAGGAAGCTGCTGTGACCAAACCCAGGACCTAAATTCTCATTGGTGTGGGCCCATGGTCCTTCCCAAAGCCCAGCAGTCCCCTGAGGATGAAGGCCAGTCCCCACTGGAAGGCACAAGTAGACAGAAACAGGTAGCCTCTGGCCAAGCAAGGGTGGAGGGTCCTGGAGAGAATCTCTAGGTCCTGCCCAAGGCCTTACACCACCTGATACTCAACTGGAAACTACGAAGCTCCAGGAGACAAGTGGAAAAGAAATCCAGAGCAGGATGGGGAGAGACAGGTGGGAGGATCCTGGGAGCAGGCAGGCCAGTTCTGAGTATGGGGCCCTTGGGTCCCTTGATAGGCTGGCAGTGGTCACAGGCAAAAGGAGAATTCTCCAAGAGGAACAAAGAGAGGCTGTGAAGCTCACAGGGAGTGTCCACCTCGCTGGGCTGCTCAGGTCCCACTGGCGACTCACCCCTCGGATTGGGCCATCTTGGCATGCAGGCTCTGGTGCGCGATGAGGTGTGCACGCTGCTTGAAGCTCTTGTCACACTCGCCACAGCCAAAAGGCCGCTCGCCCGTGTGCACACGCCGGTGGTCCAGCAGGTAGGAGCGCAATGAGAAGCTCTTGCCGCACTCGCTGCAGCCGAAGGGCTTCTCGCCTGTGTGGATGCGCTGGTGGTCAGCCAGGTAGGCGCTGCGGCTGAAGCTCTTGCCACACTCAGAACAGGGGAAGGGTTTCTCACCCGTGTGCACGCCCTGGTGACGCACCAGGTCAGAGGAGCTGCGGAAGCTCTTGTCGCATTCAGGACACTTGTGCGGCTTCTCACCAGTGTGCGTTCGCTGGTGCCGGGCTAGGTCTGAGCCCCAGCGGAAGCGCTTCCCGCACTGCCCGCAGCTATGCGGCTTCTCAGTAACTAAATTCCGAAACTGACGCTTGCGAGTGGGCGGCCGGCCAGGACGAGCTACCACCAGCGGGCCCAGGGCTGTCCTCGGTGGGTTTTCACTCTTCCAGACCTCTGTCTCGGCCTCCTGGGGATTCCAGGACATACTCACTCCACAGTCAGTCTGTCCCAACAATGCTGTCACGGCCTCCTCCGGAGGACCTCTGTCACTCTGGCTTTGGGATCCCAAACCTGCAAGGAGGGGAGAAGCCTCTTTTGTTCCCCTTGATTTTGGGACGGGAAGAGATTTAAAGAAACTCGGGGAAATCTCCCTGGCTTTGAGATTCAGGCTGCTGCGGCTCAGACAGATCAAGCCTCAATCGTCTTACCTACAAAATGACTAGACAGACCAGCAAGATGGCTGAATGGGTAAAGTCACCTGCTGCCAAGCCTAACCACTGAGCCTGAGCTCCACTCAGAACCTACACGGTGAAAGGAAAGAATCAACTCCAGAAAGCCATCCTCTGACTCCACACATGCCCCTCTCTGTACTGTACACAAAATAAAAATATTAAATGTGATTTTATTGTAAGAGCCCTTTTTTAATGAGAAGATGACAAAAGGCTAGCAAATGAGCAGTTCTGAGGCAGACTTAGAGAGCAGCTGAGCTGATTCTTCCGTAGAGGCACCTGCTATTACAAAGACCCTCTGCCTGTTCCCCACCCTGTGGCTGGCCAGTGCCACGGCCCACAGCTGAAGCCAATGGCCCATTCCCAGTCTGTAACCCGAAGGCAGTATGTGTATGTGTACCTACTGTGGCCCCCTATTCCTTAAGCTCCAGCTCTGCAGATACAACACACGGCAGCCTTGCACAGGAGGAGCTCCAAACCCACTCCCAGTGAGACCAGGGAATGCTGAGAAAGGGCTTGACTTGGTGTGGCTTCAGGGTGCAGCAGGGTTCTAGCTTGTTTTGTTTTGTTTTGTTTTTAGCATGTCTGTGGCTGACAAGATCCATCAAACTCACTGAATCTCAGACTTCTGTCTGGGGACAAACACTGCTACATACCAGACTGAGATTTGACTGAGAAAATGCCCTTACAAGCCCCCAGCATGGCGCTAGCACAGAGCTGTACACAGAGAACACTGTCAACTGGTCACATAACCCACAGAGACACACACACTTGAACACCATAGGAGGCTGTTGAGAAGACTCAGAAAAAGCTAGCTTTAGAACCCAGTTTGGGAAGGGTGGGAAGAAAAACCAGGATTACAGCAGAAAGAGGGCCCCATAGATCTGCTTACCGAGAGCAGCATTCCGGGAGTTCTCTCTCTTTATGTCCCAGAAGAGATCCCTCTGAGCAGGGTCCAGGGAGCCCCATTCTTCTCGGGAGAAATAGAAAGGGATGTCTCCCAGTGCCACAGGTTTTTGGAATGGGGAGATGTGACCCAGCACAGGTCTCCCAGGCAGCTGTGAGTGGGGACAAGAGGGTCAAATCATACATTCAACAGCACCAAGCCCGCAGAGAGAACAAAGGGACTGCTCACTCACATGAACTGCAGAGCCAAAGCAAGCGTCCACCACCTCTCCTGTCTGTCCTTCTTTAAGAACAGGAAGCTGGGCTGAAGGAGAAGAACAGAGCTTCGTACAGCCAAGGTCAAGGACTGAGGCGGATGGCTTCGTCCATACCACATATGTACACACGCCAAATGCATGCACACATGTGCTCGCGTGACTGGGCTTCCCTGTGCTGCTACCCTCAGGGCAATTCTAGAGAAGAAACCTAGGCCCTGTGTAGCCACACTGCTCACTGAAGAGTCTTACTCACCATGGCTAGGCTGCCCTTGGGGTGCAGGCAGCTGCTTCTGTACTCTTGCTTTCTGGGGAGGCCCTGCGGCTTGGAGTCCCTGGGCTGCTGCCTTAGGCTCCACTTCCGAGAGTCCATCCTGTGTAGTAACCATAACACGCCCATTAGCCCGGAGACCAGACTGGAGGTGGGGGAAGGAGGTAGGAGACATACCCATTAGGAGGCTGGGGGTTGGGTAGGGGAAGAGATTAAATGGAGGCCCAGAAAGAAAGAGAGAAGAAGGTGACATCAGGCAATGTTTTATACTCAAGGATACTTCATGATCAAGGGGCAAGAACCAATCCCTGAAAGGCTAGAGTTACAGCTACTTAGCAAGGGAGAAAGGTGGGGGGGGGGGGGGAAGGGGGAGGGTTCCTCCTGTCAATGGCAGAACCTCACACCCTAGCTGCTCATTCACATGTCTCCAGATGCTCCCAGGGTCAAGCACTCAAGACAGCAGGGTACCCTTCAATGGCTCTACCTTCTCATACCCTCCCATGATCTGATGCTTATCACCATATTTGACTGAGTAGAGCAAAACATGAATAGTTGTATGGAGCTTAAAGCCTTTCTGGATTCACTGGGGAGGCAGAGGTAGGTGAATC